AATATAATATAATATAGTATAATATAATATAATATAATATAATATAATATAGTATAATATAATATAGTATAATATAATATAATATAATTAGTCCTCTGTTTCCGGGATCCCAGGCCCCCTGGCTAATTTGGCCCCCTCCAGTGTTGGCTCCATTGCTACGGCCCTGCTTCACGCACTGTTGTAGACACTGTAAGGAAGCTGAGCAACAGGCTGTAAAACATGTTTAATATGTGGCCACACAACTGTTTGTCTATAATACTTTCCAGTATAATTAACCAGTATATCAGAATAATTAACCACAGCTGACAGGGGAGAAAGTTATAGTAAACTTGGTGTGCACCTGCGCAGTGGAGCCTGTGATGTAAAACAAGTTTGGGTGCTTAACAAAACTCTTACGTCACAACCCATCCACCAACCGAGTGCTACCTTTTTAACTGTGACTCGTTGGCTTTCTCTGTGTTTACACCAGTGTAACGTGCGCAGCAGATGGTCCGCGTAACGTCCCTGCTCCGCTGACATCCACTTCCTCCTCCAGGCTGATGTTTCATGTCAGAGCCGTGCCAGCCCTGACACGGGCCGGGGCGGACACCTCCTTTAAACGTCTACTCTGCAGCCGAAGACTCCGCTCCACCGTCACATCGACCCTGGCGACCCAGACAGAGCCGCGGGAGGATGTCAGCAGCCGCGGCGGGGCTCGACATGACTCGGCGCACTCGGAGTTCCCAGGACAGCCGGGGAGCGGAGGGAGAGACAGCACCACCAACACCACCTCCACCGCTGCTGCTAATGAGATCTCCGTAGACTTTGACCAGACGCAGGAGGCTTATAAGAGCAAAGACTCATTAGAGCTGCTCAGAAGTTTGGTGGTTTTCAAACTCTGCTCCTATGACCTCCTGGTTGATAAGAATAAAGAGGTAACCCCGCCATTAACCATCAAGTCTAACATGAGATGTTCATGTGACTTCACAGTAAAGGTGTGCATTATAGTTTACTCCTATGTGACAGTTTGGGACAGCAAAAGTAGGAAAAGGGGTCACCAGTGAAAAAGGCACAAGACAACAGCAAAATGTGTCTCTAAATTAACAGTTATTCAGTTATTACCTTTAACTTTATGTAACTTTAAATGTTTTAAGTTCAGGGTAAACATAGCCTCAGTCAGCCATTTGTCAAACTGAACCCACAGACCTACAGTAGCTGTCTGTGCCTCAGGCGAATGTGACACCCACCTCTCAAATTACAACCTGCTTTTCCCAAGCCAGCAAGTGACTCTGTCTGCAGACCATGTTACCTAACTCTAGGCGTGATGTCACATCATTGTATAAGCTAATGTATCTGGTCATGTTAATGCACAATACAATACGACACACCTTCCCACAGTGTGTACTGATGCATGGTGGTAGGCTACATTGCATAAACAGACTTGCGACACTTCATTCCTTCCACACTTCTCATGCCGTCATGTAAGCAATGAAAAACTTGGCTGTTGTTGTGAAAACAGTAGCTTCGCCAAACAGGAAGTAGTCATACAATCTGGCATTACGTTTGATTCTCAGTGCGATGTTCCACACTTTGTCCCTGTTTTAGCCTTGTGTTCAGCAGTTTATAACCTGGGGGCAGAAACACGATGTGAATTCTTTTGCTTATGAAAGAACAACGTGGTGATTTTTGTGGTTTGTCATGCAACCTGTCGTAACCTGTCTATAGACACGGCCTGTCTTGTCTGAGATAGTATGATATAGGGCTGGGCGATATGGACAGAAAGTCATATCTCTGTATTTTCAAGCTAAATGGCCATACATGATATGCTGTATGTTAACTTTTTGCACACAGCACTGGAGCTACAGAGGTTTAAAGGTTTGCAGCACAGGACACAAAACTATAACATGAGTATAAAAGTATCAAGTAGATCTAAATCCATTGTAGTTTGGAACAATTAAAAATCTTAGAAAGTCTGTCTCCATGGCCTTTCAAATGAATCTAGTGCTGGAAAATAATTTAGATATTTGTATATATTTAGGCTGTTAATCTTAATAATGCACAGAGTATCAACAGAGAGGATGAGGGAGGGAGGGAGCGAGAGACAATTTGACCACGTTATATACATCTTGTATATGAAAAGTCTGTGTTGTCGCTGCATTTTTCAAACACATCTGCAAATGCTCACCTGACATGATCAAGCAGCTCTGTCTCCTGCACATGCAGCGCAGCGCTGTACTGCATGTGAGCTACTGTGGTCATTTCATTCATCTCACAGACTGATTTAGCATAGCACGTGCAACATATAGACTGATGTCACACTGTAGACTAATTAACAGACAGATTAAAACAGAGGAGCAGCTCTGTGTCTCTCTGAGTGTTGATAGAGAACTTGTGAGTGAGTGAGTGGGGCAGAGCTGTGCGTTTCCAAAAAGAGCGGCATTATGTGGCGCAACTTGACCCTATATGGATATAAGCAGCGTTGTCTAAATCTATATCTTGCTTGAAAATATAATCGATATATCGTACATAGTCCTTAGTATGATTCACATAAGATAAGCTAAATGACACACAGAATAAATCTGGATTAGTAATCATAAATTATAGCCATATAATATGTAAAAAATCTTAAACTGGTTATAATGTACTCTTCCTTTCTGCTCAGATAATGGATCTAGGTCAGAAGATCCTGGGCCGGAGAACCTTCGACCAGTTCATGAAGATGACATTTTATGGCCAGTTTGTCGCCGGTGAGGACCACAAGGACATCAAGCCGCTGATCCAGAAGAATCAGGCCTTCGGTGTCGGCTCTGTCCTGGACTACAGCGTGGAGGAAGACATCAGCCAAGAGGAGGCCGAGCAGAAAGAGATGGAGTATGAGAGTAGCGGTATTACGATACATTTCAATAGATATTACAAACTTGTCTGTGTTTTTCAACATTTGTTGGGCAGATATTAAGATGATAACCAGTTGGTATTAGAGCTCCAACGATTAGTCGATCGTGAAAATGACTGATTAGTCAGTTGAAAGAAAAGTAGTTGTGAACTAGGGCTGCTCCGACTAAGAATTTTCCGAGTCTACCAATAGTTATCATTTAGGGCCATTAGTTGACTAGTCGCCCACATGTTTACGATATTAATTTGATTATTAAATGATATATTGTGGGCGGGGCAACACGATGGTTTGAGTTGAAGGTGTGAGAAAGAATAGTATCAGTAACATTGTTAACACTGTGCTA